ATGTGGCGATTTGATGCTTTCAATTAAACTGAAAATAAGTGATCTGTATGGAGAGATAGTTTAATGAAATATTATTCCTGCATGTGTCTCTGGGGGTCAGGGATTTCTTTTCACTTCAATTCCAGATGAAGAATCTGAAAACTTTTAAATGGTGAAAATGATAAATGCACTATTTATGAAAATAATTGGGACATAAATCAATAGTGTAGTAAATAATGTACAGACTGTAAATGTTGATGACAGTAGAATTAATTATGTAAATACCAATTATGATAATAATAAATAATAACAGAGCCGGAATGACAAATATTCCATGCTAACGATTTGCTTGTGCATGTATTAACCTATTGCATCTGCATCTATTGACAACTGTTTTCCTTTTGAAGAGTCAAGAATTTACTTGATTAATCAGTTCAACATTTGGTCAATGAATGGTTTTAAAATAGTGAAACATATTTAAAATGTTGCAGAGTTCAATGAGATGTGTTTGATGTGCTTCTCTTGTCTGACATGACAAGACAGATAATCAGAAAACAAACACTGATCATCAAAATAGAAGCTGATCCATTTACTTAAAAATCAACTTACAATCGTAGCTCTAAAGCACAACCGTGACATGTTTGATGTTACTTTTAAAGGTCCAGCGTGTAAGATTTAGGTGAAAGGGAACTATTGGCAGAAATTGAATGTAGAATAATCCTCATGATGTTTTCACTAGTTTATTTCATCTAAATTGTACGAATTGTAGTTTTCTTTACTCCAGAACAGGCCCTTTATATTTAAATACTTTATATTTACATCGAGGGGACCCTCTCTACGGAGGCCGCCATGTTCTTTACATTAGTCCAGACTGGACAAACTAAACCTCTTTTGAGTTTTTATGACAACTGAAGCTACCACAGGTTCTTTCTCGTGTTTGGAAGGAGAGGGTGAGGTGAGGGGTGTTCAGCTGCAACATGAAACTTCAACACTAGATATCACTAAATTCTTCTCGCTGTAACTTTAAAACGACCCTTTACACACTCATTGACTGTTTTACTAATAGATCGTGACAGCAGCAACATTTATCCACTCTGCTCAACACACACTGAACGGATGAGGTCGTGAGGGATCAGAATGTTTAAAAGTTTTTTAACACTGCGCGACCTCGAGTCAAGATCACACTGCGCCAAACTCTAGATCCTTTAAAACGCTGGCTCGAAACACAACAGCTGACTTCAGACAGGGATTAAAGCCCGGGCGAGCCCGCAGCTTCGACCGTGGAGCCAGACGAAAACAAAACAAACCCTGAAGTTAGCTCCGAGGCTAAAGCTAACAGCCATGCTAACGTCGGATTACAAGGAAAAAACGTGAAAAAATGAGAGAAATTAAACTCCGGAGTTCTCACCAGGAGAGGAAGACAACCTCCGCTCCGTGACTCCAGTCGGCGTTGCTCCCTTTTAAATGGAATGTGTCCTTTTTTCTGCCTCAATGTTTTTCGGGTTCAGGAAAAAATAATGTGCTTCCGCCTTGTGTAACGAAAACACTTCCTGGATTCGTCTGTCACGTGAGGAGAAGTAACAGCCAATCAAATGAGCCAGGAGCATGACGCATCGGAGAGAGAGGGAGAGAGAGAGAGAGAGAGAGAGAGAGAGAGAGAGAGAGAGAGAGAGAGAGAGAGAGA